GCTTTTGGATAATCTTGACTTAAATGATCAAGTTTAGCTCTAATTAGCTTCTCCTAATAATAAAACTTTTATCATAAATGTGTTTGGAAACCAAGAAATATATTTTTGTGTAACTAAGGAGGTTGTTTTTTTTAGACCTTAGACCAGAGAGAAATACGATTGTATTTTCTACTTGCTCTTACAATAAATAAAGAGATTTATGCCTGTTAAGTTATGGTTCAACTCTCTAATATTTCATTACTACAATTAAAATCAGCTATGGTAACTGTACTGCAAAATCCACATTCTCATTTTTGATCAGAACAATGATTATAATAAGAGAAAATCTTCAAAGGTATATTTTTAAAAAACAATTTTTGGAAAAAGCACTGGAATGAGGTGAGAAGAGTTAAATTCTAACTTGACTTTCTACTATGTGTGGTGACATCATCTAAATCTCACTGACATCATCAGTAAAATGGGGTTAATGACAGATGCCCTTTTCACTTCACAGGGCTCTGGTAATGGAAAAATAGATAATAGGTGGGAATTACTTTGAGCTTTTCTGAAGAAAGGCTCTGTATTACTCACGTTTCTAAATACCATATGCTGCAACATATCATGTTATGATGCTGCTGACAATCTGTATAAAATGTCTTATTTAAAATCTGAAGTTGTGCTTTCAGGCAATAACCACAAAAAGTGGACTTGTATATGACGGAATCACATTTAAAAATGGATACATTTTAATGTTGCAGGAAGATGACTTTAGAAATAGCCTATCTTTTTTTTATGTAAAATGTAAGGCTGGCAAATATTTATTGGATGAGTGAGGTTGCTTTTCATCCCAGTAGATGGCGCAATTTCAGGTCCAAAGCCTGTCAAAAGAATTTGTTATAAGCCTAGTGGTAGAGTGACCGTCTGTCTGCATTTTGGAAAAGGCAAAATGAGGAAAACAAGAGAGAGGGGAATGTTATTAATGCCTGAAGTCACATAGCTGAACCCTTTCAGAGGCAGAGGAGGGCAGGCAGGGCATAAAGTCAGGAGACCTTTCCTCCCGCAGTCTTTCACTGACGAGCACTTGGGAGTCACTTCACTCAAATGGGCATATGTTTCCTCATCTAGTCAGCCCCCTTCAGATACATCCTCTTTCTCTGTTTCCCTCTCTTTCCTTCTCGAACCAGGACAGTGATCATGAGTTCTGTGGAAGCCACGGTATGTAGGTATACAGTAGGCACTGGGGAAGGATGGTAATGGTGTTCTGTGTAAGTGCGTGGTCTCACAGGGCAGCCAAACAAAAGTCACACCGTGGGGGTCTGTCCTGATTCTGCTGTGCTCCTCGCGCAGCGTGTGACTCTGCAAACTTCCTCTGGCCTTGCCCCACTTCTCCACAACATACAGCTCTGGTTCATTATACACCTGAGTCCTCTGAGGAGAGTTTACAGGCATTAATGACATAATGCCGCCGAAGGCCAGACCTTCTAATGAAAGCTACTAATTATAAGCAAAGCGTCAGTGGGTGAGTGTGTAACTAGAGTCTGACCTGTCATCTATGTGAAAATGCTCCTGAACTGGGTGACATCATTTTGCTGGAGAAGTGAAAATGCTTAAGAGGGAAGCAGTCAGGCCTTTGAAGGAAAGTGCAAAGGCCAGCAAGACAACCCCTCTGCCCAAGAGAAGGGCGAGGGTGACAGAACGTTCTCTTCACCAGTAAGAAAAGTCTTGTATAAGAGTGTGAGTGGATCTGGGTCTTTTCCCCGTTCACGGACAATAGGAGGAGCAGACAATTCACATGACATCAGAAAAGTCAAAACGATACGAAAACTTTAGAAAAAAAGATATTTGGAAAGTGGATGCTGTAACATGTTCTTTACACCAAGCAGACCTGTTTCTTTTAAGCTTCTTTTTATTGTGATAAGTAGCATGAGATCTACCCTTCTGACACATTTTTAAGTGCACATTATTGTTAACTATAGGGACACTGCTGTACCATAAACTTCCAGGGCCCATTCACCTTGCTGGACTGAAACTTTATGCCTGCTGATTAGTAACTTTCCATGTCCCCTCCCCACCCAGGCCTTGACAACCGTCATTCCACTCTGTGAGTCTCTGAATTTGACTATTTCAAGTACCTCACATGGGTGGAATCATGCAGTATTTGTCATTCTGTGACTGGCTTCAACCATGTTGTTGCCTATTGCAGGATTTTCTTCTTTTTAAAGACTGGGTAATATGCCATTGTATGTGTAGACCACATTTTCTTTATCTAGTCATCTGTTGACTAAGTTTTAGGTTGTTTTCACATCTTGGCTACAGTGAACAGTGCTATGTTGAATATCTAGGAGTGCTTATATCTTCTCAAGATCCTGATTTTCTTTTGGATAAATATCCATAAGTGGGATTGGTAGATCATATGGTAATTCTATTTTTAACTTTTTGAGGAACTTCCTGACTCTTTCCCGCAGTGGCTGCACCAATTTACAATCCCACCAGCAGTGGGATTCCATTTCTCCATTTCCCCAGCAACAATTCTGTTTTTCTCTAATGGCCATATTGAAAACTGTGAGGTGATATCTTATTGTGGTTTTGGTTAGCATTTCCCTGATGATTAGTGACTTTGAGCATTTTTTCGTATATCTGTGGGCCATTTGTATTTCTTCTTTGGAGAAATGTCTATTTAAACTCTTAACCTATTTCTTAATCAGGTTATTAGTTTTTCCTTAACTAGACTTATAGGGTTCCTTATATATTTTGGAGATTAACTCCTTATCAGATCAATGGTTTGCAGATGTTTTCTCCCATTCAATAGGTTGCCTTTTCACTCTGTTGTTTATTGTGCAGATGCTTTCTATTTTGTTGCAATCTCATTTGTTTATTTTATTTTTATTGCCTGTGCTTTTGGTGTCGTATCTATGAAATCACTGCCAAGACCAATGTCATGAAGCTTTCCCCCTACAGTTTGGGGTCTTATGTTTAAGTTTTTAATCCATTTGAGTTGATTTTTGTGTCTGGCGTGAGACAAGGGTCCAAGTCCATTCTTGTGCATATTTTCTTAGCACCATTTGTTGATGAGACTATCCTTTCCCCATTGGCAGACTCAGTGGTGAAAATGTCCTCTAAGATCAGGAGCAGCTAAGAACGCCTACCCTCGTCACTTCTACTCAACACAGAGCTGGAAGTCCAGGCCAGAGCAATTAGGCAAGAAAAAGAAAACCCATCCGAACTGGAAAGGAAGAAGCATAATTATCTCTTTTCGCACATGATGTGATCTTAGATATGGAAAACCCTAAAGAATACACACGCGAGCGTGCGTGCGCGCACACACACACACACACACTGTTAGAACTGATAAATGATTTCAGCAGTCTTGCAGGACACAAAGTCAGAATACAAAATCAGTCATGTTTCTTTACACTAACAGTGAACTACTCCCTTCCCCACCAAAACCCCCAAACAATTCCATTTACAAGAACATCAAAAATGGATAACATTCTGAGGAATAAACTTAACTAAGGAGGTGAAAGGCTTGTATACTGAAAACTACAAAATGCTGATGAAAGAAACGAAATAAGATATGAAAAAAATAGCATGTCATTCCATATTCATGAATTGGAAGACTTACTATTGTTAAAATGTCCATACCACTCAAAGTGATATACTGATGCAGTACAATCCTTATCAAAATCCCAATGGCATTTTAACACAACCACCTACATTTGTATACTTCAAACATCTGCTTTCCATTAAAACAAAGATTATTCTTGTAGTATTGCCCATAGAATTAGTTTAGTGAAAAGTTATTTCATTTTTCAAACTACTGCTTCAGAATCTCAGTTATATTCTATATCTATACAAGAATATACTCCTTAGTTACATTAAATATGGAAAGAGAATTTTTAAACTTGTTTATGATGTAGTAAACTTATTACACTAGGACTGGAAGACCTGGATTTCACTCTCAACTACATGATTCACTAGCCATGAAATATCAAAAGTAATAATAACAATAAGTGAGAAAAATCTTTCACTTGGATTGCATTTTTGAATGTACAAAATTTCCTTCCCCATAGTATTCAACTTTTATCATATTCTTTCTGGGACTCAGTTTTCTTATCTGGAAAATGGGAATAATAACTCTTACTCTGCCTACTTCACAGAGCTACTGTAAGAATGAAAGACAAAAAATATGTACAACTGCATGTAGAATCATAAGGCATTATGTAGTAATAGTTCTACATAGTGCATGGGAAGGGTCAGTATTTCAATGTATAATAATATTGAAGATCAGGAGAGAAAAGAAGAATGAGACTGGCTTAACTGGTCAGTTGTGAGAGGCTGGAGGCAGTATACTGGACCCCATAAATATCTCATGGTCATGCATGACTCTTAGGTTTCCCACAAATGAACAACACTAGGTTGATAACCACAGGTAAGCAGGTTAAATGAATTCCACCTAAAGATGCATTTCCCAATTTTATCTTATATCTAAGAAATTCAAGCTGGTGCTGGATGATTCAAAGTTGCTTCTCTCATGTAAGAGCTGTGAAAGTTCTTAGAGCACAGATAGTTACAGGAAGCTTAACTCTTCTCTGGGGAAAACATTGCTCCAGGAATGAAATGGCTACAACAATATTCTCTGAGATAACCAAAGATTACCTCCTTTCATGAGCTAGAAATAATGATACAAAGAAATCGGTTTGGGGTATGCATGTTACAAGGTTGTCTTTCATAACCCCTTCTGTTTGCCTTCTCAAAACATTTTTCCCAGGGTGGGACATACATTCCACACACACCACGTGGTCAGAAAAATCAATAGACATTTAAAAGCTTGGAAGCATTTATCTCTGTTCACAGTAGCTTTATCTCTGGGCTGAAATAAAATGCTTTTCATTCAGAATCTCCTGTCTTAGCACCTAAAAACGGTTACAGATGGAACTTGTTCAATCAGAGCAGAAAACCACCAAACTCAGGACAAATCAGAGATTTCTGAAACATATTGCCAGAGCTAAAAGTGCATTTACCTGGGCAATTATGTCTGTAATTTCTGAATAACTATGGCATCTTCTCACACATGACCGAGCCAGAAAGTCTTCTATCAGCCGTGTTCCAATACCGTATCCCCTGTAAAGGAAGGAAAGAGTGTGCTCTGAAAATATGTGAGTAATCAGTAAAGTCTATCACTGTTTACGAATGGATTCATCTGTTTAGCACTTGCACAAACAAATGACAAAGTAAACCTAACTTGAAAATTCAAGTGGAGACTTGGCACTTGTTATGTGTCCCACAGACCACAGAAGCAGAGAACAACCTACCCAGGAAATATTAACTAGTCTCCTACAAGCAGAAAACATCTGAGGAGTCAAGGCTGACCCAAACTTGACAGTGTAAATTAAAGTTAAAGGAGATAGGCGCTTGTAGCCTAGTGTTTCCCAGTGGCAACTAACTTTCTCATCATTAGCTGTTGTCAGAAACAGAATGAGGTTCTGGCTAACTTGTTGTCTACTACAGGTGTGCTACCTGGATGCTCGTTTTTCTCTTGGCGTAGTTATCATGGTAGGAGAGCAGGCATGTCTGGGATGCACTCTCGAAAGAGGGAAAGAAGGAAATGGATAAATCAATTTTTGTTGCCAGTGCAAGTTTCAGCCATTAGAATGCTGAAGTTTGGTGAAAACGAAAACAAAATAGCGAAGTTCAGAAAATTCATTTTTTATTCCAGGGAAACTGAATCAGTGGAACTTGGGAGGAGGTCTTTGTATTATGTGTTAGCTCCACCCCACAGCAAACAGCTTGAGTAGCACTCAAAGTACAATTCTGAAAGCATTGTATTGAGATGTGACAACATAAAGGAGCAGACACCTTTACAAGGCAGCTAAGAACTTTCAGTCTAGTCAAGGAAATAAGACCTTGATGGCGGAAATAAAAAGACTGCTTTTGCCAAATCACTGGCATAAAATTGGTCTTTTAATCTCACAGCCACATGTACTTGTGAAACAATTTGAATGGAGCAACAGAAGGCCCAACAAGATAAAAGACACCACAATTTGGAAGGGCAGTGTTTGATTCATAGGGTCTAAAGTGGTGAGTGGAGGGATATTTGGTGACCCAGGGAACGGGGGGAGATGGATGTCAGAGTACTTATTAATTTACTAAATCTATGAGATTATTCAATAATATTTCTGAGTGGATAGAAATATTCAATTGAGCTTACTTGCCTTTCACGAAAGACACTTTGTGAGTCTAGCCAGAAAGTTCACACTGAAAACCTTTTAAAGAACAGAACGTATACTTTATAGAAATAGTTGCACCAGGATTAAAAAAAATGTTTCCAGTGTTTTATAATTATTATGCATATCTGTAGGCTCGGCCCCTGGGAACGGTGATGGGAAGGCAGAATTTTGTGGTCAGTGCAATATATATGCATAAACACGCACACATATATATCTTGCTTTGTTCAAAGGGTATGTTTCTGCAAAGTAGATTTGTATCTATCAAATTAAAAATGTAAGATGCTCTCAGCAGAAGCTATTAAAGAACTCCAAATGTAAATTATTGTTTTTCTTAAGACAAAGCTTTTCTACAGCCTCTCAAAATATATTCTTTACCTAATTATTTCATTCGTATTTGCTAAAATGTGAACCCAAGTAACTAACCAAAGGGTTTTTTTTTCAGTCAAATAAATGATTCTTTTCATTTTATGCTGCTGTTCCACAAAGCCATGCAAATTTAACCTAACATAAATAAAATAATGTAACTTCTGAAAATGCTTTATCACATGTTTAAGAGTGACCTAAATATAAAATGGCTTAAGAAGCTCCCACTGTTACAGACAGTTTAACTGAGGAAATACCCCTGGCTAAGAAGAAATGAAAAAAAAAGAAAAAAAGAAAAAAGAAAAACAGAAAAAAAAAAGGTATGTGAACCAAAATAAAAATAAATATAGGACAATGAAAAATAACTTTCCAGTAAAAAAGGATAAACATATAGAAAGAGAGGAAACCAAGGGTTTTAAAAAAAATCTTTCAAGCTTTCCTCAATGTTGTCTTTTTTCTGTATTCCAATTGAGAATACAATGAAACTTTTTAAAAAGCTATAAAACGCTTAACTAAGCTGAATTTTCTCTTCAACCTGTCTGACTAGTACAGGTACAAATCTTCTAACTAGTACAAGTTTTCCAGGTATTGCTCTGTTAAAGTCCTTTTCAGGACCCATAATTAAGATATTCAAAATACACTGGCAGATATTTTATTTTTAGGAGGTAATATGATGATCATACAATTTTTCTAAAAACTAAAGGCTGAGTTTGTACAGGAGAAATGTCCATAAATAAAGGAAAATGGGCTTTATTTTAAAAGGAAGGAACGGGTTTCTCCATTTAATATAATTTTAAGTAAAGCATAGTAATAGTAAAAGTGTTCAAATAATAAACACACTTTGCAGGAAACAGTAAATCTACCTTCTTCCCATAATCCCTTGCCTCCCGGTTTTCTCGGGCAATTACCATTAGTATTTTTTTCTTGTTTTCATATCCTTCCAGAGATGGTCCATGCTTGTGTAAGCTTGTGTTTACATTGGAAGAAACTGTGTTAGAACAGAAGACCTCCGAAAAGAATCAAATTTGATGATCCACCATATTGTTTAAAGAAAACTTCAGTTTTACCACATCCTTTGCTTATAGGCGACTAGCAAAGAAATGATTTCTAATGAAAAAGAAAACACTGCATGACTGACATTCATGAAATAAAAGTCCCTTCCTATTACTTTATATTTTATGGCAACCCAAATGGCAGTTGTCAGAAATTTAAGATGTGATTCATTGAAATAGAAGAGGAGCTGGTGAAATGCAGCAAGAGAAGTGGAAAGAGGAGGGCAACACACAGAGGTTGTTAAGAAACAACTATGTTACCATGTTCCACAAGGACGGAAGACTTCTACTCACATTGTATCTAAGTATTTATTCACATCTTCATCTTTTTCATAATCCTTACAGAGCTGGGCAACCAGAGCTCCATAGGTGAGGACAAAGAGATCTTTGTTCTGAGGAAAAAGGGATAGTTTTATGTTATAGGCAAAGTGATGAACAATATACTGCTTTTTTTTTTTTTACAAATTTATCTAGTTGGAAGTAACCTTTGAGATCATCTGTTTATTTTTTCCACACTCCCCCCCACCTAATTACTACAACAATTTTCAATTTTGAGAACACACTGTACCCATATTTGGATACATTGCTGACAGGCAAAGAGCAGTGAAATTTCTTAACATGAGAACATCATTCTACGCATTTGCTTGTATTATATAACTTGCAATGTATTTTTATGGAGGAAGTTTTTTAAAATACTAATTGCTGATATAAATTCTTATTGTTCCAGAATGGCCTTTGGTATATGCTGACCATGTTTTCAGTTGGAAGGAATAATTGCATGAGATGTCTCGTGAGTCTGCACAATCCATTGTGAGGGGGAGGGTATAAATCAGTGGTAGAACACAAGTTTAGCATGCACGAGGTCCTGGATTCAATCCCCAGTACCTCCATTAAAAATAAATAAGTAATCCATTTGCAGCAACATGGATGGACCTGGAGATCATTATTCTAAGTGAAGTAAGCCAGAAAGAGAAAGAAACATACCATATGATATCACTCATATGTGGAATCTAAACAAAACAAAACACACCACATAAATGAAATTATTTATAAAACAGAAACAGACTTAAAGACATAGAAAACAAACTTATGGTTACCAGGGGTGGGTGGGAAGGGATAAATTGGGAGACAGAGATTTGCGATACTAACTGCTATATATAACATAGGTAAACAACAAGTTTTTTCTGTATAGCACAGGGAACTATATGCAATCTGTAGTAACCTATAACGAAAAAGAATATGAAAATGAATACATGTATGTATATATATGACTGAAACATTATGCTGTACACCAGAAATTGACACAACTTTGTAAACTGACTATACTTCAATAAAAAAAGAAGCAATAAAAAAATAAGTAAACCTAATTACCTCCCTCTCAGAAAAACCCACAAAAAAGTATGTAATACAATAAAAAAAATAAAAAATTGAAAAAAAAATTCCTAATGGATTCCAGCTCTGCCAAGGAGACCATCAGGCTGAATCCAACTGTAGCAACAAATTTGTGAGTTTTTTCTTTATACTTAGAGAAAAAAGGAGAATTTGCACTTTCCACGTGGATCTCCAACATATGTCCATTTTCAGAGTGAATTAAAGAGGAAAATTAAAACTGAGGATAATTTAGGTCTGGTTTAGCTTCGATATGCTGAAAATATGGAAAAGAGAAAGTGCAAAGCTCAATCAATCCTTTTAAGAGCCTCACAGTTTTGCATCTTATGTTGAATACCAAGAGAAGAGGACATTACAGATAATTTATTCCAATGCTCTCTGTCCTACCGAAGAGGAAATGAGGCTTCAGGAGGAGTGGGTGACTTGCCCAGCTAGCGACTGACAGAGCCAGAGTGGAGGGCAACTGCAGGTTCCCTCTGACAGCAACTATCTCCAAGGTGCACAAAAGAGAGCACTGCTGGAGCAGAGGTGAATGGGAGATGGGGTAGGGAGGGGTACCACTGTTGAACATAATCTTATTTTATGCTTAATCTTGTAATCTCATGAAATGTGGATTCCAGGTTAGAAGAGGTGTCCTGACCTCTGGGCCCAGGCATCTCGGGTAGCCTAACACGGGGTGGAGGGAAGGTAAGGCCTGATAATATGTATTTAATTGTTTTTTTCTTAAATCATGAGCAGAAATAGCTCAGAAAACCAATAAAACAGTTTACTTAACAAAAGTGACTTCTATAAAATGTTACATAATTTTGATATAAATACTTCTAAAATTGGCCCAATACCACTAGTACCCACTTCCTTATGTATGGGTTTATGTCATGACAGATATGTTTTTTAATTGGATAGACTATGTATTATAACTAAATAAATTTTAAGTAAACAGAATCTAAATAGTATGTGACACATATGGACATTGTTTTGAAAAAGATAAATCAAAATGTCATAAATGTGTATAGTATATACATTAAATACATTACTTGACATTACATTAAGGACTAATATACACAATTCAGGTATGGGAAAATAATGAGAGCATTAATAGTCTTACTAGGAAACCAGGAATGTAAAGCAAGTGATTTGAACCAAAAAAGTTGTTAAACAAAGCACTGAAGGGTTATCATGTAGTCAATTTTAATTCTGTTCTTTTTTGAATCTTCCAAGAATCTACTCATAAATCACAAGAAATGCCTGTAAATAAATTATATGAAATATCTGCCTAATGTATAAGGAACCACAGGAGAAGATAAATTACTTTCATGTGCCAATGCTACAGCATAAAAATAAGCAAAGGTGAAAAAAAGAGAGAGAGAGAGAGAAGAAGAATGGTCATTGCCACTAGCAGTAAAAAGTATTTGAAAAAGAGAGAAAAGGGGATAAAATTATACCTACCTTTATGCCATAACTTCAACACTGTGCCCATTTATAGCTAAGGCTAAACCGAAATAATAGCATTTTCTTTTCTTTTCTCTCTCTCACTCTGGTGGTGGTGGTGGTGGGGTACTAACTACATTTTACTTCCAGGTGCGTTTCAAGCTCAGTGCCCATAAAGGCCAGGCTGCTTTATTCTACTTCATGGCCAAAGGCCGTACCTTGAACTGCATGTCCATGGGGTCTCAAATCCGCACGATTGATCAGAAGAAAGGTCAACAAAAATTTAGCCTCATAGTTTTAAAAACAATAAAAAGCAATCATTTTCATGTATGAAAAAGAGAACACCAGTAATTTATTTCAGGAGGTTTTGGATATACCAGGATAAAAATGTGTTTTAACTGATATATAAATCAAGTGATTTTAGGTGCAATATGAACTACGTCCAATATTTTTTGGCATTTGACAGCTCCACATAAAAATAAATAAAGAGCCCAGAATGTCAGAGGGGGGCATCTGCAGGCATTCTCAACTGCGGTGCACATGGGTTAGTCATACAATTCTAAGTATTCACGGCTGAAATTACTTAATTTCATGTAATGTCCATCAGTCTTCTGAAGTAATTAACAGAGCTTTAAACTTAATGATGAGTTTTCACATCTGTAACTTCTGAATGCCTCTAAACTGTAATAAAAGATTAAAGAACAATATTCATCCAAATCTAACCTGCAACTAATTAAGTTTAAAAAATAACTCTGAACATGGAATATACAGAAAGTATAACAGCATGCAGCAAATCACAGTAATAATCACTTACATTGAAGATTAGGAACTATGTTTTTAGAGGCAATCTTTTAATCCCAAGTTTTTGGATAACATATTCCTGCTTAATTTAATCAATATTTGCTATACATTTCATTTCCTATTTCTTGAAGTTTGAAATACAACAAATTACAAATATAACACACAAAGAATTGCTTAATCTTTTTCTATTTTCTGTTAGAGACAAAAGAAAAATTCGATGCTTGCATAATTAGTCAGAAAAGCAGACCTTAAAATATATATAAAGAGAAGACGATTATTCTCTCAGTATGTAAGAGATCATTGTAACTATCCCCAGAAGTGTCATTTATGGTTCTCTCCAATAAACACTCCCCTGCTCCACTGAAAAAGTCTGTTTAATAACGTCACCTTTCAAAATAAATCAGAAATCTCTCAAGAAAACAGCTACAGGGGAAAAAAATCTCTTTGAGAATATGTTTATAGAAAGAACTTACTATTTTATGGTATTCTGGTCTTCTATGTGCAGGACGAGACATTGTATGCGACGATGAAGGAAGTGTATCAATCTCTGTCCCTTCGTGTTTGCCAGTTTCTCCTTGCTTTAAGATCGGGTGCTACCTCTGCACTCAACTGCTTTTGCTCTTTGCTGAACTGAAGAGAAAAGAATCATAAATAAGACTGTCTTACAGCCATGAATCTTGCCAACAATCAAATGCTGCTTCACTCGTGGGGACGAGTCGTAATCGAGAAGCATAAAAGCTGATAGTGGAGAGTCAGACCGGCGCACAAGCTACTGAACATTCTTTAGCCCAGGGGAGTGTTGGAGTGGTGTTTTGCTCTCGTGCCAAGGCATTGTTTTAAAATCACTAACAGAAACCTTCACAATTCAAGATAGATCCAAATGTTAGCATTATTCAGTCTTTGAATTGATTGTTGTGTGAATTCGAGATAGGATCAGCAATCTGTAGGCACTGAATCCTGGGTTCAAACCTAATCAACAATTGCAATGTGTATCACCTTATTCCCTAACTAACAGATATCACAGATCACTGTATTGAGTGATTACAAAATTCAAATACATCTGGTAACTTTTTTTTCATCAGCAGCAATTTCAAGATATGACAGAATTTGGGTGGTGATATTTTCTTATAAAACTCTTGCTCAAAATGGGTTTTCTCCAGTTTAATAATGCATAACGATTCTGGCAAAGAAAGCAAGCAAGCCCTTAGCTTTTATTTGAAAGTACCCAAGATATTAGCTATTAAAGGCTATCTTTATTTATGCAGAAGTCTAGATACTTGATGTTAAAACAAGAAACCCTCTCATCTTGACAACTGCAGGGTGCAGGGGATCAAGCCTGTTCCAGAAATAGAAGCAGAACACTCAGTTTGAGAAAGCAGCTTCCTATTTCTTGCAGCTTGAGTCAATTAGCCCTCTGTGTTCTGGAAAATTCTTCCTGTAAAGGACTGTATGGTCAGGCCACTCAAATTGGCTGTTCTCTTGATCTCTGTACATCCTCTGCTTGGCCAGTGCCTGCTTCACCTCCACCTACTCACATGACTGGCCTTCCTACGTACTCACCCCAGGCTCCAGCTAAGAGAGTGCTCATATCAAAGGGGTGGTGAGGGGTGTGTCCCTCTGCTGGTTTCCCTGGTAACAAATGAGCCAACCTGACCTCAATTCCCCCTGTAACTGCTGACATTCCTGCTCCCCTTGGAGTGAAGACGGCCACCACGTTCTGCCCACTGTCACCGCGCACAGGGTGTGCTCCAGGACCTTGCTTCAGATATATAAACTCTCCCTCTCCATTAAACCACTGATGTCTCTGTCCCTGACTGCAGGCTCTTTGTTCCGTCTTGAAGCTGGGTGAGTACAGGCCTGCAGGCCTGCGAGGTGCAGCCCGACACTGACAGACTAGGTGTAGTTCAAAGAGCCCAGGAGCATTTGGGAGGCTCAGGCTAAGCTGTTTGCAACCATTTACTGGCTGTGTGGCCTTGGGTCAGCTATTTTATTGCTTTGGCTCAGTTTCCACATCTGGGAAATGGCAATAATAATACTTCCCTCACGGAATAATTGTGATTATCAAAGAAATAATCTGTGCTATAAAACATGATAATGCACTATATAAACACTAGTGACTAGAGACTATATTTGTAGGTGGCTATATTGAATGGAATTCTATGTTCTATGACACCATTATCAGGAATATCAGTTTTGTTCGGTTGGGGGTGTGGGAGGTTTTCCATACCAGATTAATAACACCTTACATTTATATAAACTTTTCAGTTTCCAACACATTTTTCCTCCCCTCCCTTCCAGTTTAATTCAACTACAATCTGTGTAATAGTCAGTACTGTAATCATGGCCATTTTCTAGGATAGGAATGTATCCCCTAAAAGTCAGAGAGGTTAAAAACGTGTTCAAGGTTAGCTGGATAGTTGGCAACAAAGAGGGATTTGGGCTAAATTTGCTGACTCCAAAGCAAAAAATGTTTGTTTTTTTTTTCTACTGCACATACTCTAATGTGTTAGAGCAAAATCTTTTAGAAGCAGACTCACAACAGCTACTAAGGTATGGTGACAGCATGTCCCTGGGCCCAGTATGGGGTGAATTCTGAGTTCTGAATGAGAGATCCCTGAGAAAAACAGAGAAGGCCTGCATACTTGGTGGGAAGGAAGTGATGACACAGGAATCTATTTCATAAACTCTAGTGGCTGTGGTATGGTGATATCAGGGCCACTAAGAGAATTTGGGACATTGTGGGTTCATTAGAAAAAGCCAGCTCTTCCTCTGGAGTGATGGGTCACCCCCTCTCCCCTGCCCTTGCAGCCAGGACCACAGGGCTTACAGAAGGAGCCCCTGCCAAGCACCACCCAAGCAAGAGCAGGACCTGCGCAGGCACAGCCGCAGGCACTGGCTGGGACGCTGATTTACTGGTGTTCAGACTATGAAACCTACTTGCCTGCAGCAGCTCTTCTGATCTGAGTGAACCTTGTGTCCCCCAGGCTCTTCTTCTTCTTCTTTTTTTAAAATGTAAAACTGCCCTTCCTGTAAAAGAAAGGAAGCACAGAGGTTATGTTTTAAACAGGTAGATGACATATAATGTCTGCCCTGGCAGCAAACTAGGAAGAAGAGTCATTAAAAATAATGCAGAAAAGAAATTTTGCCTCTTGTATTAAGAGTTCTTTCTGTAGCTGAGGACTGAATTTGGAGCCGAGGTTGGAAAAATGACACATTCTTCAATACCAATATATCTGCACTGCAGCCAGTCAACACAAGTTAGTGGTGAACTGGGCCACTCCCCTGTTCAGGTCCTGTGGGAGGTGGCTCGGCAGCTGAGTAGAGAACTGGGGAGACGCTAAAAGAAGGGGCGTTTACTGATGTGTCAGCTGTATGTGCACCATTTGGATCATCCACAAACTCCCAGGCAAGGCAAAGCCACTTCCAGTTACTGTAACATCTGGTCCAGGGGCTTGTCATCCTTTTCAACTTCTTTTTCTATTTAAGGCTGCTTTTGGTGCTTATTATAAGTGAAATTCTTTTTGTAGAATCAGTGTTAATTTGCTCAGCACTCCTACCCCGCTGAGGACAGCTCTAGCTGTCAGACCTGATTTCCCTGCCCCAGGTACCAGCATATACTCAGTGAATGAGCTGGTGAACCCCTGCTGAGGAATAGACATTTTATGTGTTGAATAGACAGGCAACAACAAGCTACCTTTACCAAGGAGAACATTTGGCTATAAAACCCCAAGGAAAATTGATTACTCATGGATGTAATCAGTTACCATCATTGACAAGTTACATGCTGGTTCTGCAAATGCAGTCATTAGCTCTTTCAACAGTAAACAATAATAAAACTTTAATAAAAGCTTAAGAATTTGTCATCAACAAACTCCTTTACAGCAGACTTTGACACCTCAATAGTGACTTCAATCAATCAATGCTCCGTCCTTTCCTATATTGTTCCCTGAAAGAATGGTCTACAATTTCCTCCTCCACTTGTTTTACCCTATTAAATGAATTTTTAAAATATGAAATTATAAACATAAGGAAAATGTAGTACTTACTACCAAGCTTTACTATGTATCCTTCAGGCTTTGCTTTAAGCATTAAAGCAGTGCTGATACAGTTGAAATAGCCTGTACCTTTCTTAATCCTCTTCTTTCCTCCTCAATGGTCACCACTACCCAGAACTTGGTATTTTTTATTTCTATATATGTTTCTAAATCCTGCAGATGTTAGTAACCATAAAGAATACAGACCATTATTTTCTTTTAAGACTTTACATTATGTTTCATACTCCATGTTTCTTACAGCTTGCGTTTTTCTTTCAAAGTTATTTAAGATGTATGTCTATCCATACCTGTCATTCTAGTTATTTTATTTTCACAGCTTTATAATAGGGAGCAGCAAATTTTTCTATAAACGGCTGGCTAATAAATATTTTAGGCTTTAAGGCCATACAGACTCTGTCACAACTACTCAGCTCTGCTGTTGTGGGGGGAAAGCAGCCATAGACAATTCAGGAACAGGTGTGGCTATGTGCCAATAAAACTTTATTTATAAACACTCAGACTTAAATTTCATGTAATTTCCACAAGTCACAAAATATCAAAAAAATTTTTTCCAACCATTTTAAAATGGAAAAATCATTCTTAGCTCTAAAGGCATACAAAACAGGCAGTGGGTCAGTTTGGTCCCTGAACCATAGATTGTCAGTCCCTACTCCTTGGCATTCTATTACCATAGTTATTTAAAATCTGTTTCCTTGTTATTGGACATTAATGCTGAAATTTATATTGTGATCTTGTACATGATCAATGCATTTTGGCAAATGACTAATGGGGAGCTTATAAATATGCTTATTCTCAATTTTTAGGGTATGGAGCACTACATCTTTATCAAAGCTTGCTAATTTGATTCTTTCACATCTTTTATATCCTTTCTAATGTTTACTTGATCAATCATTTCTGATAAAGATATGTTGAAAATATCTCTCCGACTGTAAGAATTTCTCCTTATAATTTAATGTTTTTGCTTTATATATTTCAGTTATGCAGTCAAAAACATACAAGCCAACCATTGTCATATGTCATAATGGATCATTCCTTCCATTAAAATGAAGTGTTCAAAATTAGCCCTTTTGATTCTTTTTGCCTTTAGTTCAGTTTTGCCTTATAATGATATTATTATTATTCCCAGTGATGTATATTTCAGTACCTTTATTTTTCACACTTTGTGTGTAGTCTAGATATGTCACTTGCAAGCAGCATGACTCTATTTTTAATCACTCTGTAGGTGAATTTACCCCAGCTCTGGTGTGGTGGTTAAGAGCATGTACCAGACCACCTGGGGTCCTAGTCCTGGCCTTTTCACTCCTGTCTCTGTGGCCCTGTGCAATTTCCTTTATCTTGACACTCCACAGTTTTCTCATTTGTAAAAAAGCCGAGGATTGTATTAGTACCTCCTCATAGGATTATTACAGGGATCAAATAAGATGCTGTTCTTGGAAGAGTGCCTGGGGTGTAGGAAATACTTGGTAATTGTTAGCTGTTTTAAATTTCGTGTGTGTGTGGTTATTGATGTGTTGGTTTTATTTCTACTATTATTTTGTGTTTTCTTTTTACCATCCTTTTCTCTTTCTTTACTACTTCTTTTCCTGTCATTATTCTCTTTTTGTGTCATCCATTTTGAATGATCTAGGCACTGTATTTCTATTATTTAATAATTATATGTAAAATCTGTATGGCTTTATTGAGATATAATTCATGTACTGTTTGATGAGCTTTGACATACCTATACACCCCTGAAGCCATCAAATCAATCAATGTAATTAATATTTCCATCACTGCTGTATTGACTGTGTTTCCTTTGATTCTTTGTTTTCATTCCTTAATTACAGGGCCAGACTAACAGCCAATGTATTTTATATTTCTTGTGTGATCTGGAATCCATTCTTGACTCACTTCCTTGTCTAACTCTCATACACCAAGTCAGTATTTCATCTGTTCTAAATCAACCCAGGACCAGGCACCAGACAAGCAGCAGTAGCTGCCATGGAAGCCAAAGCCAACTAGAATTGTTTAAATTAGACAACCCTAAGCTGTTTTCCCGGACCTGCCTTGCCTTTCCCACAGAAGCCCCAGGCTTCCCTCTGGCCTATGCTCTCCCTCCTCCTTTCTGCCTTCCGCCCAAACCTGATGCTTCCCCATGTGTCCCGGAGTGGCCTGAAATTCCTCCTTCTCTTGGTAAATATAAATAATAACTTCTTTCAATGGCATTGGCCTTTCTGTGCCATCCACCACTCAGTCAACTACATCAGTTAAAAACTCATGATTCAAACTGATGCAGTCCCCAAAGTTTTCCCACCCCCTGGCAATCCCTCTCTTCTTATTCCTCCTCCCTCATTCCCTAGGCAAGCACTGGTCTGTTTTCTGTTAGTGTAGATTAATTTATACTTTTAAGAATCTTACATAGTCATACAGTGTATGTTCCTTTGAGTGAATTCTTGCTTTCAGAAAGTTATTTTGAATTAATTCTTATTATTGTCTATATCAATCGTTTATTCCATTTATTTTGCTGAGTAGTATTCCCTTATAATGGATATATAACAATTTGTTGATTCACCTGTTGATGGACATTTGTATTGTTCCAAGTTTGCAGCTATTATAAATAAAACTGCTATGGTCATTCATACACAAGTTTTCATGTGGACATAGGCTGTCGTTTCTCTTGAGTAAATAACTAGGGGTAAGTGCCTGCATTATATGGCAAGCATATTAAAGAAACTGTCAGTTTTCCAAAGTGGTTGTTTCCATTTACATTTCTAACATCAGTCTATAAGAGTTTCAGTTGCTCTGCAATCCTTACCAATGTTTGGTAATTGGAGACCAATGGAGCGTCTTTTAAGTGTCTTGCCATTTTAGTAGATATGTAGTGATGTTGTATTGTAACCATGGATTACTTTAGTTGTATCTTTTGAAATAAAAAGTAGTTACTTCCACAGCTAATAATTAAAGAAACTTAATAAATACATTTGTCCCTGTCATCATTTTTGGTTCCCATGTCTTTCTGCAGTTTGTTTTTCTTCCTTGCTGAATTACATCCTTTAGCAATTCTCTTAATGAAGGTCTGTAGATGGTAAATTCCTTTCGTCTTTATGTGTCTTTATTTTACTTTGTCTTGAATGATAGATAGTTGAGCTGGTACTAAGCACTTGGAAGACTGTCTTCTAGTTTCTGTCCTTACTGCTCAGTATGCTATCAGTCTGTTGTTATTTTCTGTAGGGTATTTGTCTTTTCTTTCTGGTATCTTTTAAGAATATCTCTTTATTTTTCACAAGCTACAGTTTTACCAGGTGTCCAGATGTAAACGTGTCTTTATGTCCACTGCTCTGAATATATAACACATTTCTGATGTAAGAACTTTCTTTAATTCTGCAAAATTCTCAGTTATTTCTCTTCCAATACTGCCTCTCTGCAGTCCCTTCATTTTCTCTTCTGGAGATCCTATTACACAGATCATAGAGATGCTTAACCTGTTTTCTGTTTTCTTTAACTGTTTTAAAAAATGTATTATTTTATTTCTTTGTCTTTTTATACCACACTTCGGTGAATTCCTTCACATTATGTTTCAATTCCTTAATTATGTATTTAACTATATCCAGTTGAGAGTTTATTTGAAAAGAGAAATTTACATCTTATTCAAGTTTTGTGAGCCCTAGCAAGCTTACTCCAGGGCCTTTTAATAGAAGTTATACAGTAAATATTTGTTGATTAAATAAACACAGTAAACATTTTACATATTTGACCATTTTATTTATAGATATATAACTTTATTAATTACCTAAATATGACATATTTATATGACAGAAAGATACCATATAAGCAAATTTGCAGCTTAACTTTTAAAGCAACACGTTATTGTATTCTGTCAACACAAACACATTTTTATGCAAAGTTAGAATGTTTTTGTTGTGATTTGGCTTTAGGGTTACCCAAGCTTTGTCTTGGAAAAGCTTTTGGGATCTTCTGGCAGAACTCTTACATTACAGATGCTCCAGACAGCTCTAGATTTTGGATTAATCTAGTATTTGATAATTTCCATTATTATTTATGCCATAACTTTATGGTAACAAAATCCTGGACCAGTGCAAAGGTAGGAATGTTCTTTGTTTTGCTTCCAATGCTTTATTTGCTGGTGCTGAGCATTTTGTGTCACACAAAGAAGCACATTGAAAGATGACAGCAATTTGTTTTGCAAGCAAGCCAACCTCTTTACAGTAGAAAGATACACTGAAGAAGTTTCCCCCATCACTCAGGCCAGATGAATCTCTCCTTCAGGTCCCTCCAGCTATAATCTGAGGTGCATTTATTAGTTCAGGAATCACAAAGTACACAAGATGCTAGAATCCTTTAAACACGTGAGGATGTTGGGTAGATTGACACAACCAGTTCAACCAGTAAGATCCCATAAAATGATTATAGCTGGTGGAGTCTAATGATCAGAAAGGGCTACAAGCTGATCTGAGTAAGAGCTTCTCAACGATGAGCCGAGGTCTCAACAATACTGTATCTTCTCTGCAGAGAAGTGGAACTTTGATCAATTCTCTAATTGCTGCATTGACTATTGGTGGCCAACAGCTGTTTTCCTCATTTACGTTCAAATGTCCCTGTCAGATTGGGAAAAATTTCTATTATGGTTCTGCTTTTCTAGTCATCCCTGCCTTAATACTTCTGGTTGCTGGTTATGCTCTGAGGAGCCAGACGTGGACAATTGCCGGTGAGTACTGCATCTGTGTCCCTCCACCGCGGAGAATCAGCCTTCTGGAGCGCAAGCTGGCTTGCCTTCGGTTCTTCAGCATCACTGGGAGGGCCCTTGTTGCTCCTTTAACGTGGCTGGCAGTGACCTTGCTGACAGGCACCTACTACGAATGCGCAGCAAGTGAATTCACATCTGTGGACCATTACCCAGTGTTTCACAACATTAGCGCCAGCAAACGAAAAGAGATCCTAGCAGGGTTTCCATGTTGCAAATCAGCTCCAGCGGACATAATCCTGGTGAGAGATGAAGTTGCTCTTCTGCACAGGTATCAGTCACAAGTAAGTTCTTGATTTTTCTTTTCTGCTCTGCTCTCCCATATTAACTATAGTCGCTGGAAACATTTCACATCCCTGCTGCTTCTCATATTCTCTGATTGTAGAACACAGAGTAGACGCCATTCATCAAAGTGATTTCTACTGAGCGGTGACAAAGCTATATTCAGAATTCTGGGCTTTGGAGTCAGCAGACCTGGGTTTGAGTTTTGCTTTGCCATTTATTAACCTGCAAAACCTTATGCAAATTATATAATTCATCCACACTTCACATTTCTGAACTGTATAATGGATATTGGTAGGATCTACCACATAAGGTTGGAGTAATAAATGAACTAATGCATCCAGAGTGCTCAGTACTGTGTTCAGAATCTATATTAAAATGAATTTTAGATATTGTTATTAAAATTATTTTTACTATATAACTAAATTCATCTTTCTGCACATATATATTTTAAAATATGCATTCTTATATATTAAAATCTTATCTAAAATTACAGGAAGCTTAATTATGATTAAAAATAAACTCCCCCCCAAAAAACTCGAATGATGCTTCTAAATTTAGTATCCTTAGATAGGTTTGTATGAGGAGGTGGAGTGAAGAGGGAGGAGGTCCTAAACCTACTGCTCTTACAGGTTAAATTTAAAGATGTAAAAGGGCATTTTTGTCAGTAGAGAAAGAATCATTGGCTTTCATCCGTTTCTCCAAGGGATTTTGGGGGAAAAGCATTTCAAATCACTGCAATGCAGTAAAAACACATTTTTTAAACTACTTATTGCAAAGGCATTTTTTGACCTATCACTTTTCAGCTATTAAAATTTAGAAGTGCTAATGCTGTTTAGTTGAAAAAAATTTACCGTCAACATACAGAATATTGAAATGTTACATCTGGCCTACTTTAAGGAAAATTAGAAATCTCATTAGGAAAGGATTTGCCTCGACCTATTTACACCAGCCTTAAAGCTCTGGCAGAGGAGCTTTGAAAAGTGAAAAAAAAAAATCAATGGGGCAGTTTTAACTTTAAAAAAATGTCCTTGCTTGTAAAACAACTAAGATATAATACACAATGGTAAGCTGCTCCTAAGATCAAAATAAAATATCTTATTTAATGATACACACAATTCTGTGAAGAAACAGTTTTACAGCTCTGAATGCCACCAGCCAGTGGGGTTTTTGATATAGTGATAGAAAAACTAACATTTGAGATGCTTTTGATTTAGTGTATAAATATTTCATATCTTGACTCTAATCCTCATTATTTTAAGACAAAGGTATAATCAACCCCATTTGACAGACGAGGAAACCAAAGCTCACAGAGTTTATAACTTTCATAAGTTAACAGAGCTAATAAATGGCTGACTGAGATATCCAAAGATCATGATGTTTCTATTTCACCAGGCCACCTTCTGTAAATACCTTGAACTTCAATCTCATTTGAGGAATGTGTATTATCTTTATGTTGGATTATTCTGGGTTGACCACCAGATCAGATTAAGCTCAAATTCCTTCTCTGCCCCATACCTCTTTCTAAAATACCTTCCGGCCATTAATTTCACCCCCTTTCAATCTACTTTCTATACTCATGCCACAGGTATCACTCTGAGAACTGAGTGATCGGCCTCCTCCTTACCCCTCCCACCCATCTAGGTCCTTCAGTGGTTTTTCTACCAGCCTAAGCACAAATCCAGATTCTTGGCATGAGATACAATATCCTTCAATATCTGGCCCCTGACCATTTTCCTATGTGATTCCTATGACCCTGTGAATCCAAACTTTATGAGGTTATCCCAACTCTTCACACTCTTATTTTTCTGACTTCTTCCCTCATTAGAATTCTCCTCAACCTCTTGCATCTGGTGAACTCCTCTTTAATAATTTAAGACTGAGCATCATCGCCTCTGGGAAGTGTTCCCTAACACTCCTTTCCCTTAAATAAGTTATTTCTCTTCCCTTGTGCTTCCCTGGGCCTTGTATTTATTCATATCAAAAACTATCCTATTTTACCATATTTCTTGGCTTGTTAATTTGTTTCCCTTTTTAAGCTTAAAGACTGCAGAGAGAATGAATGTATCTAAAATTATTCACATATGAGTCCCAATAACCCAGCACCATACCCAGCACATGGTGGGAGGTCAACCTGGGGCTCAATAAATGATAGCTGATGAGTTAATGGGCAACTGAGATGACCTTTCCTCTGCCATGCTGGCCTCTATTAAGTTAAATTATGATGAGTATCACTTCGTAGGTTTTAGCCTCTATAGAGTACAGCTATCCTGCTGTGCACGCTGTGCCAGGCCTGTTGGTGAGTCACAGCTGGGGAAGAGACCTTCACCTTCCAGACTATGGCTGCACGCTGCTGGTTTCCCTGAATCTGTGGACCTCGTCTCTCTCACCCTACATAACAACCACTAAATATTGAAAAAAGAATAATGAAAATGAAAAAAAAAGGATTCTTACTGTAGAACATAGCTGTTTATATCAGTATTTAAGAGTGGAAGAAGTGAAAAGTTGCAAATAAAATCTAGTTCCTTTTCCTTTCAAAGTGTGTTTCAAAAACAAATCATAAAACTGGCCAACAAATGATTATTTGAAGGGAGAGGAAAATGAAAAGAGAAATAATAGGTGTTACACCCTTAGGGACATGAGAGTCTGCTCACTGGCTTTCTTTGGTCACAGAAAAGAAAAGGAAGGAGCAATTCAGGAAGAAATGTCAATGAATACTTGCTGGCACATCATTGAAGACGTGTGACGAGGCCACCGTAATTATCTATTAGACCCTCATCTTCATCACCATCACTATCAAGTATTTATTAAGTGCCCCCCAAATGCATGGACCTATACCTGATAGTTGAAAAGTAGGCTTGAGCTAAAATCAAAGAATGTAGTTTACGTACCATATACAAAGGTAGGTTTTAGTGTCTGCCACTTCAAGAATAGGATTTAGAATCTATTCCATGTTAATGGGTCAAAATCCTTGGTAATCCCAAAACGAAGGTGAAATGGTTGGGCCTATACCCTATGTCATCCCTGCAACCAGGATCAAATGATTAGCACCTGTTAATATGTTAAAGATGAGAAAAACACATTTCTTACCCATATTCTAGTTCTCAGTTTTGTAGGAATCCCTCCTCCCATGGCTGTTTCTTGACTATTTGATATATGGATGTTTTCTGTTTTTCTTTTTTAATAATTATGGGAAGATGCTAGGCTGGATTTTGATCACCCTGGCAACTACTGCTGTCCTAGTCTCCTGCTGTCTGGCGAGATGCTGCTCCCCCCTCACCTCTCTGCAGCATCACTACTGGACCACCCACCTCTGCAATGAGAGAGAGCTCTTTGAAAAAGCGGCAGAGCAGCACTCACGGCTCCTTATCACGCAGCGCATCAAGAAGCTATTTGGCTTCATTCCTGGAACCGAAGATGTCAAACACATTCGTATTCCCTCGTGTCAGGACTGGAAAGATATTTCAGTACCCAGTTTTCTCTGCATTGGTGATAACTTGCAAGGTCACTATAGCTTCCTGGGAGACAGGGTGGATGAGGATAATGAGGAAGGGAAATCAGGAGATATTGAGTTAAAATCTTAATTATAGCACCTTTCACAACTCAGGTTGCTTAACAGCTATTTTATTTCTATGATGATGGAGTTGCAGTGTAATCTCTTCATCTTTTTTTCTCTCTTCTGATATTTGTTTACATAAGCCCATCCTAAATGCTATTTTCAGTCAATTTATCTAATATGTCTTTTTGAAATTTCACTGATGGTCTGACTGGTCTAATGAAAACAATGTGAAATCTGAAGTCATGTCAAAATTTGAATCTTAGTTGTTACCTTTTAGCTATGTAAAAATTAATATCTTTGAGTGCCATTTTGTTACCTGCACATAGTAGCTACCTCACAGAGCTCTTGTAAAGCTATATGTGCTAATTAAATGGGATAATATAAGCAAAGTACTCAGCATAGCGCCTTTCATAAAATAGGTGCCAATAAATGTTACTTTCATCTTCCTCTTTGCAGTCCCTGTCTTCTATCACTGTTTTCCCTGTCTCTAATTTCTGTTTTGTTTTTTTATTCCCCCAATTTCTACCTCTCTATAATATCCAGGAACTTGTCACTGCTTCCTTCTCTTTTTTCAAGCTTAAATATCTGACCTTTTGGGAACTAGGATAAAAGCCCTTTCTAAACTGTTAACATGTAAAGGAGAAGCCCAGTCAAGAAGGTCTTGAGTCACCCTGCCATAATCAGGGGAAGATGATGCATAACGTATCCTCATTAGTGTCATAAATGTCATTGGTAGCACCTCCAGACTAGGAGCATTTTTATAGCTTTGATATATAAAGTTTATTCTAGAAAGCTTCCCCCCTGTGCTCCACCACAGACATACCATGTGTGCCTTTTTTTTTTCTTTTTCTTTCTTTTTTTTTAAATTGAAGTATAATCAGTTTACAATGTTGTGTCAATTTCTGGTGTACAGCATAATGTTTCAGTCATACATATACATACATATATTCCTTTTCATATTCTTTTTCATTATAGGTTACTACAAGATATTGAATATAGTTCCCCGTGCTATACAGTATAAACTTGTTTATTTTATATATAGTAATGTGTATCTGCAAATCTCGAACTCCCAATTTACCCCTTCCTACCCCCTTTCCCCCATGGTAACCATAACATTTGTGCCTTTTCATTATCAAATTGCACCTTTGCACTCAAAATCCACTCTAGGAAGCAAGACTGCAACCTATATTTTTGTATGTCCATTATCTAGAACTCTAAAAAGGAAGACCTATCTAACTTTCACTTCTAATATTTGACAGTTTCCTATTTTATCTTGGCTTTTTTCTGAAATATGTAGTGTCTCATGACTGGTTTTTGAGTCATTCACTTAAACAACTAGTTCATTGGCCAAAATAAGCAAAATAAGAGATTTTCTTTATTTTTTAAAACCAAAATTATGGCTGCTTACTGGGCAATGGGCCAACTGGGAATAGTCAAGCTGACTTTCAAGATTCACTTTCAAGGAGACCAGAGAGCTTGACTGTCTAAAGTGTAGTTACTATCTACTTCTATGCAATCATGGAAGAGTATTTTGTGTGAAATTATGGGTCCCTCAGACTTAATGGAAACGAATAAAAATGAATTTTAAGAAAGCTATCTTTTTTTTAACCAGTAAGAGACACATAGTATAGTACTTTGCTAGGACAGTAGACCTGTTCCTCCCTCCCCATTAGTTACTGGGCAAGTTGGTTAGTCTCTCTGGGACCCAATTGTTTCATGTACAAAATAGGGATAATGATATCTTACCTCCTGGAAAGGAAGGAACTGAACCAAATAAATTCTTGAGGTCCCTTCTAAATCTAATAAGATATTTATGTTCATATGAATACAGGTCAAGAAGTATACAATCCTCTGGAGTGCTCGGAGGCTCAGGTTATTTCTATTGGAAGGAAAATATCACTGAGTTTGACTCTGAGCTTTCTCTAAAGACATTTGCTGCCATTCCACTTTTAAAGGAATGTTAATGTACTGATCTTTTCAAGTAGCCAAGGAAACTTTTTCCACTTTGTCATCTAATTCTATATGTAGTTCTGCTATGGCATCACAAGAGGGATCTTAAAAAAATAGGAGTAAGTATGGATGTAGGGCCCTCGTCTGCCCCTGCTATAAATGAGCTGTGTACTTATCAAAGGCTACCTCCACTTTGTTCTCTGTGGTCTCCTCCAGCTCCAAAATTCTATGGCTTAATTTACCTGAGACTCTGAAGTTCCTCTGTATTGGGACACACTAGTTACATCAGCATTTTATACTATGATCAGGATTATCTTATTAGTTTTCAGTGAATATACTTTGGCATACAGAATAACGTACAAAAACTAGAATACTCTTCAGTCAGATTTTCAGTTAGCAAAATCAGAGTATATGAAGTTAATGCATTGCATCACCAGAAAGAAAGCAATAGTTGTTTGTATATGAACACCAGGAAATTTTCTTTCCACTAGATTCTGGAAGACTTTTCTACATCATTCTCTTTCAGAGTATTACATACAGTTTATACTTTGAAGCACTGAATCATGGTCTTCCACTGTAGATTCTAGATTGTAAGTTTGGCTCCTCTGCATGGCGTCAAGGGCTTTATAGCATCTATATGAACATTTAAATGGTAGTACACATCCTTGAGTTTTATTGTATATTATGTATTTCAAATTAATATATTAAATATCCAAGGTTTTTTTTGTACAGCATAGTCTTCTGTTCTATAGCCAAATAGACAAAACTTTTCCATTAAGAAGATTGTACTTCCTCCCCTTTGTGCTTAATAGATTTATATAATTTTAAAACATATAATTAACATCAATTATGTGCTAATACTACCTTATATTTTGCTACCAAATGCTTCTGGCCACTACATCAAATGCTGTGGTTTGGCATACGTACAGACTTACTCATTTCTTAACTTCAGCTTTGTCAGCTCCCTCATCCACCCACCACAATCCAGATTGCCTCCTTTCCAGGAGACAAATACAATCCCAATGTTCAGATGTGTTTTACTCAGCGTTATGTCTTCCAAAGCTGAATTGCAGAATCATACTTATACCAATCATCTTCTTTATCTCCTTTCTCTGTTCCAAGTCTCCAATTCTATTAAAAAATTCTAATGCATGATTGTAATAAGAAACAACAATGTGATTTTACAAAGAGTTTTCTTGCATTCTGCTTGCAGCACAAAGGGAGATCACATTAATCTTAAAACTTTGAAATATCATGGCTAACCAAAGACTCAGTAGCTATTCACTACCTCAAAATGTAAAGTTTAGAGATATAATAAGTCTAGCAAAATTTGACACTGGTCGCTAAAGAGCAGACGTTGTCAGGCTATCAGAGTAGACAGCTGCACCACTGGCTCCCAGAGGTGTGAGGCACATACCCATAAATGTGAATTCTGGACCAAGGAGCAATGATGGTATTTCCAGAGAAACATTTTTTATTAAATTCCTGACTCGAATTGTTTTTCTGTATTAACCACCAAGTAACAATTAAATTTCTCTAACCTCAGAACTTCGGAAAGAAGTGGATTTCGTCTTGTTTTCTCTGCAAGACGTCTTGTTTTCTGCTGCCCTCCAGTGGTCAGACAGGTAGCTGCACCCATCTGTGGTGGTGGTGATACAGTAGCGGTAAAAATAATGTGTAGCGTTTACGCGTTATGCTAGCTACTTTAAACAAATGATTCCATTTACTCCTTACAACAAACTGGTAAAGAGAGTCACATATTATAAATGAGTTGCTGAAGTGACATTGAATAACATAGAGAACGTGAATTGGTAAAGAGAGTCACATATTATAAATGAGTTGCTGAAGTGACATTAAATAACATAGAGAACGTGAAGGAATTTTGTGCAAAGTCCTATACAAATAAAATGCTTTCTCATTGATATAATTATTTCATTATATAGCTAGTGAATTGTAGTTATCATTGGAATCCAGGCCTATCTAACCCCAATAAAATAAGTTCCTCCATTTTATTGGTGGGGTAACTGAGATACAGAGAAATCAAGCACTTTGCCAAAGGTCACATGCCTGTGAGTGATGGAGCCAGAATCCAGCCCCGGACGTCTGACTTCTGACCCTGCATTCCGTAGCACTGTGCTGGAATGCAGCTACAGAAAGCATTACAAACCTCCTGGGGACTTGCAGGTGTTATGAGGATTCTCCTCCTACTTCTGTCCATGGATAACTAAGACATCCTGAGCTTCAACAATAAGCTGCTGTAGCACGTCTGAGTCCTTCTTCTTCCGCTTCCACTATATCTGCATGTATGATGGCTCACTTTCAAGGTACTGCCCTTCTTAGCAAAGTGATTTGTCCACTGTCATTGAGGCATAACTTTGGATCCGAGCTACCCAACAGCCAGTAGCCCTGATTTTATTAGCTACAGACTAACTGCAAGCTTGCCCAGCAATTTCAGGTATTCTTTTTCCTGTGCAGGGAGTGGTAGATTTCACTATAATCTGTCAACTTGTTTTCAACAGGCTGTAGTTATAAAGGGTCGATATGAGGTCAGGAAATCACACTCTGACCATTCGCATGGTCTCGTATAAGTCATTCACTCTGGGACTTTAATTTTCCCTTACTAGAGATAGGGGAGGATGATCAAATTCTGGGAGTGAGTGATTAAACTACTTTAAGTCACAGGTCCCTCTGAATAGCTGTTCTGGCTAAAGTTATTTTCAAGAACTATCCAGAAACATAACACTGTGCATACACACACAGGCTCACATATCTCAGATTTTATATGCTGTGGTGGGCTAAATACTGGCCTCTCAAAGATGTACACGTTCTAATCCCTGAAATTTGTGAATGTTACTTTATACTTTATATGGCAAAGAGACTTTGCAGCTGTGATCATGTTAAGGCTCTTGAGATGGGGATATTACACTGGATTATCCTGGAAGTCCCACTGTAGTCACAAGGGTCCTTGTAAGAGGAGGAATCACAGTCAGAGAAAAAGCAAAGTGGCAAGGGAAGAGGAGTGTCAAGGAGTGTCAGAGTGATGCCTGAGAATTCAGCCATTGTTGTCTTTAAAGATGATGAGGGTCGTAAGCCAAGGAAGGCAGGCAGCCTCGAGAAGCTGGAGGAGGAAAGAAAACGGATTCTCCCCTAGAGCCTCCAGAAGGAACACAGCCCTGCTGACTCTTTGATTTTATCCCAGAGAGACCTGTGTCTGATCTGTGTCAAACAGTAAGAAGTACGTACCATTCTTACAGAACTATAAGATAATAAACTTACATTGTTCTGACTACTAAGTTTGCGGTCATTTGAAACAGCGGCAATAGGAAACAAACACACACACCGATATATTTCAGGAGTTTGTGAACCCGCAAGCCTGTCATGAATGAGACCCTCTGGATTAACATCTCTTCAGGGTAATTTCTAAGCATTCTATGATTCTATATGCACTGATGCTCTGCCGTAGGCAAAATTGTTGCTCCTGGAAAATAAATACACACATCTGTAATATAATATTTTATAAATATAGAAAATACAATGTGGCCTCATGTTTTAAAGTGTTTTAAAGTGCAAAAAAGAACAGCTGTTTACACATCTTATGTTTTTTATAGATGTTTCAGTGTAAACCACAAATAAACATTTTTAAAATATATTTTTCTTCTATAGTTGCCAGTTAGTGACATCAACAGAATTATATATTGCAAGCTATTTCATAATGTGGACATAATCTAGCATTTGAAATATGGGAAAACAAAAGCCAAAAGGAAAAAGCTAATCTGGATCTATGTGGCGCTTTAGTAGTTGAGCAAATTTCTTAAATCAAGAATAATGGTCGTATTATTGGCCAGTTCATGCTTGCCATTCTTTCACCTTGAGATAACATGAATTTGCGAAAGCTGCCTACAAAATAAGTACATTTTCTCCATTAACGATTAAATAGGTCGTAAGAATACCGTGAGAAAGGTGTATATTTTGCGGGAAAGATAAATCCAACAGCAAAAACCATTAGTTACTAGTGGCAGAGGTAGAATAATAAAATGTAGTTAAGAATGCAGTTCCGTTCTGCCTGTGGTTAGGGTGCTCTGCGTTTTGAGCTCATTCTTGAAAATTTTCTAGGGCCCGACAGCGTGGGCGGGTTTCTTTGCTTCCGCGCACCTCCGGACCCTTTGCCCTCGGCGCGCTGAGGGCCCGTTGTTTTCCGACCAGAGAAGCCAACCTCCGTCTACAGCATCCCAGCTGGCGGGACGGCGGCCGGTCCTTATTCACTGCGCCGCGCCGCGGGCATCCAGCGTAGGCTGTGCGCGGGGTGTCCGCCCCTGATCAGGCTGGGGGAGGGTGGTAGTGGAGCGGGCCGTTATCAAGCCCTCGGAGGCTTGCAGCTCGCCCTTCGGGTCGCTGTCCTCTCTGGCTGCTGACTGTGCGGTGACGCTGTGCTCTGCCGGGTGGGTCAAGCGCATTCCGGCACACTAACTGGGTGGCTCTTCTGGCTCCGCCCAAAGGCGCCTGGTTGGTCCTCCCAACTTGTGGCTCTGTGTGGAAGGCAGGGTGCAGGCAGCACCCAAAGAGATCCCCGTCTAGGAATACAGTGATTATGTGCCACAGAAATCAAGAAAATACGTTTCTGGAAGATAGTGACTAGAAAAATGACCATTCACCTTTTGTTGCATGTTTTGGGTAAGAACTGCATGGATGGACTTCACCTAGAGAGCACATTCTTGGAGAAAATCATTGGAAGCCAGTGTTCAGGAGCGGCATGCTGCTGATGGAGCTTAATGAGTACTGATGTCGTCAGCATTACATAAATGGTGTTAGAATCCTGCAGAGGCGAGAACTGTATTGTTTCAATAGAAACTACAAAGAGCTATGGCATTGAGAGTAGTAACAACAGTGCTACTTTTTGTTTTGTTTAGTCACTGTGGGAGATATGAATTTAGATGGCAACAATGCATTTGACAATAAAGAACACAGAGATGATACAGTTCTTCCATCTGACCAGGAAGAGATGGTGCATGGACATGGTGGAGAATCTCCATGAACACTGATTAAACAGTAAACAAATGTGCAAGTGTATCTATTATTCTAAACCTTCATCACTAAATCACTGTATCTCACATGAGCCCACGAAGTTTTAAAATACATCCTTTAATAAAATTGATTATATAGATAAGGAATCTCCCCTGCCCCTCAACCCCACAAAATGTTTTTCCAGAACCCTGCACACCCTTAGGGTCATCCCTGACTCAACTGTCACTATATTTTTTTTCAGGAAGCCGAAAGGGTGATTTGACTTAAATTTTAATTTTCCACTTTAACTCTCAAGTTTATTTTACTTCCACACATTTAATAAAATTCATACTGCATTTCACTAACCCTATCTTCTTCCATAACTCTTTTGCTCCTTCATTTTCTCTCCTCCTTCCCCACCTAGTCCCTTTCAAATCCAAAGCAAAGGCAGGTGTCAGAGAGGGAGGCGGTATGCAGAGAAGAGGGAGAGACAGAGAGAGACAGAGGAGAGAGAGAGGAGAGGGAAGAGAAGAAAAAGTAAAAGAAAACAAATGATCAAAATGATCATTACTAGGGTGAGAGAAAAGGAACATGTACAAATGCTATTTCAAGTCTGTCCACCTTATACTTCATCCTTGGATGCAAGGTAATGTGGAAGTGTAGCCTACTTAAAACTCAATGTTGTACCTACTTTGTGGTTGCTCAGAATTGAGGTCACCATCTTGCCAAACGGTTCAAGAACACTAGCATCAAGACTGTTAGGGGAGTAACAACTCCGCTCACAGACACCACTCTTGTGGTTAACACCTTGGGTCAGAGGTGTTAACCGCTGTCTTTGAAGTCTGGTACACATCTATCACCAATGTAAGCAAGATCTTGAGGAATCATAGCTTCTTTCATCTAGAAATTATCTCGACCATTTTTGCCTAACTCCCCCAATTTCATAGATTTGGAAGCTGAGACCCATAGGGGATGCATCTTATACAAATGCATTTGGTAACTCAACTATAAAGAAGGGCTTTAAACTAGTTTTATAACTCCCTGGTCCAGTGCGTTTAGAATCGTATCATGTTAGCATTCCATTGAATTCACTCATTTATTCAGAGAATATATATTTTTTAAGTGCTTATTCTGTCCTGCTCTGCCCTATGTACTAAAGTACAGCTGTATATAAAATCCCTGACCCCATGGTACTCACAGTCTAGTAGAGGGAGAGAGAGAAAATAAACATTATAAATAATCCCAGTGTAATTTTAAAGTGTCATGAGAAAAATATCATGGGGTAAAGGGAAAAGGAAGTACTGAGAAGGGAGTGGTTTTAATTTTAAGTAGGGTGATTGGGGTAGTCTCGTTGAACAAGTTACAGCTTAAGAAAGACATGGGCATGGCGGGGGGTGAGGAGGGGAGAGCATTCCAGGCAGAGGGAACAGCAAGCCCCTCCTTAGGGGGAGAACCTGCCTTCCATGTTTAAAGAACAGCGAGGAGGCTAGTGTGGCTGAAGCACGGAATAGGTGGCTGGGTAGTAGGAAATAAGGTTAAGAGATCACAGGAGATGCAGGTGATGGTCAGGGAGTCAGATTCCATAGCGCTTATACTGTTAAATACAAGGGTCTTTAAGGGGGGGGGGTCAGTTATGAGCAAAAGAGTGAGATGACCTGATTTACATTGTAGCAGGATAACTCTAGCTGCTGTGCTGAGTCAGAAGAGACTGTAGGAGATAAGCAAGGAGTGGAGGTCAGTGAGGCTTGTGGTACTGAGATTCACTTCCTCAGTTTCATTCTGCCAAACCAAAGGTTCTGAAGTATTTCTCGGAGAACTGCTACTTTTACATTGCTCATCAAAACTGTTACATCATTCACAGAAAATACGCAATCACAGACATATTTAAATCTATGTCCAGCCGCGTTCATTTTACAGACTCAAAACGGAAGCCTAGAGATCTGAATCTAGAACCCAGACTTCCGGACTCCCATCTGATTTCTCCCCGGATTCACTCTGGCTATTCAGCAGAACAGACCCTTCCGGACCCACTGGCCTTCACACTCCCGTGGGGCCCCAAGAACTCGAAGGCTCGAGAAGCTTCACCAGGACCCCACCACTAGCCAGCACTAACGCAAAGGCACATTTCTGAGCCTTTGGCTCAGCGTATCTGACCACCCGGCCGCCACTACAGGGTCGAAACCCGGAAACCGGAAATGACGAACTTCGCCCCAGCGTCCAGCCACCCGCTATACCGTCACGTCCTGGCACGTGAGGCCGGCCTTAAGCCCAGAGACATCGAGCGAGGATACGGCGCTGAGGGGCTTCTCCGGCTCAGGCCCTGCAAAGCCCAGAAACCGATCCTTAGGTGTCCGTGGCAAATGCCAGACCGGGCGCCTTCACCATCCGAGCAAATCAGCAAATCCCGAGCGGGCGTGGGACAGGCGGCCCACTGGCCAGGCCCAACCAGTCGAACGCGGAACTAGGGAGCAGGCGGAGGCCGGCGCGGGGCTGTTGCTCAGCAGGCCTGGCCTGGCTTTGGGTCCCGGGCCTCCCAGCCAGGGACTCTGCGCCTGCGCTCGCCTGGCCGCTGCCAGCTCTCCCGGCGCGGCCGCGGTCCCGGCTGCTGCGCGCCGCCTGGGTGTCTGGGCCATCCATGGGCTGCAGCGAGGGCCGCGATGACAGATTACGGCGAGGAGCAGCGCAACGAACTGGAGGCTCTGGAGTCCATCTACCCTGACTCCTTCACAGGTGACTTCCGCGGCCGCCGGCCCGCGGCTACCCAGGGGTGGAGTGGGACCGGCCGCAGTCGCTACGGCCCTCGGCGTCCCGGACCAGGATGGAGAAGCGAACAGCGGGGCTGCATGGCCACTTCGCCCGCCACTCTCTCCTCTAGTTCTCGCAGAGTGTTCAGGCACTTACTAGTAACTCCACGGCTGTTTCCCCTTCTCCGTTTGTTCCCTGAAATCTGGAAGTCTGGGCGAGGCTGCGAGGGCCCTGGAGTGTCAGGCTTGTAATTCAGTCGGGGGCACTTTGGTTTTCGTGCTACTTAACAGCAGCGCGAGGTTTAGAGAATTACACGAAAATAGATACCCCAAGTGGAAGTAGTCTTTGCAGAACCGCGGAAGTGCCAGTTTTCACATTTTCACCTTTATTCAGGTAGAAAGCTATTTTTCGTACGGTGGTGTTTTAAAGTTTATGGGATTCAGAGTTCTCGGAGTTACCCAGAATCAGTTTTGAGAGTAGCGTTGTTTCTGAAGTTTGTCGTTTTTTTCTTTTCTTTCTTTCTTTTTCTTGTCTTTCTTTCTTCTTCTTCTTCTTCTTTTTTTTTTTTTTAACATCCTTACATTCTGCAGAATGCCCAATGAATGAGGTGGCCCAAATTTCAGTTTCACTGTAAGACCATGCGTAATTAGACAAATGCTAGAATATCAGATATCACCTAACCTGGCTTCCTCTTGCTACAAGCAAGGTAATGGAGGCTCAGGAAAGGTAAGTGGCTTTGCTATGGGTTGGCCAGCAAGTTAGCGGCAGGACTAGTACTCAGAGATTTGGGACTTGGGATCTAGCTGCACCTGGGATGTGGGGGAGCAGAAGATTACTTGGTAAATTGGGCTAATATAAAATGTTATTGAGAAGTTTATTAGGTATATTTTAAAGGAAGAGAATTTTTCTGTATTAAACCATTCTTCAGATAATTTCTGAAGACGCTGCAAGATAATAACCATATCAATATGGTTTCTCTCACATTACACTCAGTTGTTGAGAGGTGATGTAATAAAGCCAATATGAGCGAGGATCGCCTAGGTTTGTGGGATTTACATTCCCTATCCCTTCCTTTGAGTGCTGTCCATCATTGATTGTCAGAATTCAGGGTGTAAGGTATGTTATTTTAACTCATAACACCAACCCCTCTCCCTTTACATTGCTTAGCTTAGTTTTCTTAGCTCCACCTTTTGATCACTGCTTGCAACAGTAGCAAATTTTGTTCTGCTTTGCCAACAGGCAGATGTCTCTCAGCTATCCCTGTATAGCTCCAGTCCTGTTCATGTTCTCTCTCACCAGCAGTACAGCTATGCTGTGAGGATGTTAAGGGGATGAGTGAAGAGGGGTTTGAGAGTGTCATTAACTGGGTGAGTGTGTATGGAGTCTGGCTCCCTTCTCTATCCTTGCTTACATATCAATGTCTAAATAAAATAGAATATAGGGTCATTTATTCTTAACCGAGACATTTGGTCATTTCTAGAACACTGGAAATGTAACAGGCATGAACACAGGGTAGGCAGAGTTAAGAAAGCATAAGATGTGCTATTCTTTTCATTTCTTTGGACGTAAGGTATCACTCATTATATACTGTGCACGTAAGCATTTATAAAAGTGATACATTTTTAACCCTAAAATTTTTTTTCTTTAAAATTGTACCAGGCTCTGATATAGTTCAGTATGTGAAATTCTTGTCAGATGGAAAGTGCTTGAGGATTCTGAGCCAGGGTAACAAAAGACAATTTGTGAATCTTTGACACATCAAGTAATCTGCAATATCAGCTGAGTCCATCTGTCTCTGATTCCTATCAGCATTCCTACAATTGCAATAAACAAATTAAAGTGAGAAGTCTTGATTTATAGTACTTTAGAAACTTTGCATTACTTACAGTCAGATTCTTTATGAAACCTCAAGGAAGAGGCACGGGGCTTTGGAATAACATACTTTCATGTTTGGTCTTTTGAAATCTTGAGGATTTGCAAGGTTTACTGGTTTACAGCCTTCTTTCATGCTGATGATTTCATACTTTAATATTTTCATACCAAGTTTAAGAACGAGAGCTTGCTTGTGTCAGTTTGCCAAGGAACACTAATTGGTAGTTTTCGTATCTCATTTTGAATCACATTTAACAGTAGATTTGGTAAATGCCCAATGCTGTTGATGAAGGATGTAGATACTTTTTTTTTTTAAATAAATGGCTGAGTGCTGACAGAGAAGCCTTTGTTAAGTGTATCATGACCCACTTGTGGATGCTGAAGAGACACAATCCAGCCGACCATAGTCCATTTTCTACAACTGCATGGGGCTACAACCACACCTTAGAAATGCCATCTTTAAAATTTTGGCCTCTGAAATTTCTCTTTTGTCTATAAACTTTGTAGCCCTACAGTTCTTTCATTTCCATGCTTTTAATGGACACGCCTCTCATCATGAATTCTCACGGACTGATATTTTATCATCCTCTTTCCTGTTCTTCTTGCCTCCCTGTCCTGTCTGGCTTCCAAGGTTAGGCAGTTCAGTGATGTTCTTACTAGCATTCCCATGCTCTCATTTACTATATGGTTTCCTTATTTACTAAATATTTTCTCTATTTATTGTTAGAAGCTCAGTCTCTTGGGGAAAGACATCAGATAAGTAATTTACAGCACAGCGGATGATTGCTTTATGGAGATATGTGTAGAATGCAGCCTGAGCAAAGGGAGAAGGGACAATCTGAGGACTGTTTTGGAGGACTGAGGGGTGATGAGGAGTTGTGTGAATGAGACTGAGGGAAGGGGCAAGTGTGCAGAAGGGTGACTGAGAGAGCAGAGTGTGTTCAAAGAACCAGTAGCTGGGTATGGCTAGAATGTAAAGTGAGAAGTGAGAGTCATGGAAAATGAGACCTGACAAATCAGTAAGCAGGGGCCAGATCACAGAGGGCGTTGTTAGCTACTGAGATGTGATCTTACAGGCCCTTTCCTCCCCACCCCCTGCCCCGTGCCCCAGCTACACAGACACACAGGGCGTGTTGTAGACACTGCCATGTCAGACTTGGATCTCAGTACTCAGGTGGCTTCTCTTGAGTTTGTTATTACCTTTGTGGTTGCTGCTTTTCTTTTAATATCTGGCACTTTTTCCTCTTCCTACTTTTTTCCCCCAATTCAGAATGCCTTACATGGCTGAAATTGGCCCTTGTTTCTCTTTATTTTCTCTAGCGACTTCATTTAGTCTAATGACTCCCAAATTAAAATCAGGCCCAACTCTCTTTAATGCCATTTGCCCATTTCTAAATGCATACTTGATACTTCTAACTGAAAGTACTCTGTGTCCTTCAAATATATATGGGTTTTCTTTTCTGTTTCTTGTTTTTGTTTGTGGCACATTCTCTGCCTGCAAATTCAAGTTGGCATCCATCAACATATTAGATTTTTTCCCTGTTCCCTGCTATTCCCTTTGCTACCAGCCTAGTTCAGAACCTCATTAACTTTGCCGAGATGATTTCGGTAGCTACCTAGTTTCATCCTGCCTCTAGCCTTGTTTTTCTCTTTCCATTTTATGCACTGTTGCTAGATTTATCCTCTATGTTTAGAAATAGAATTCTGACCTTATTACTGCTGCTAAAAAAAGCTATCACTGTCCACGCTAAACTTTAAATTGTATTTTCAACTTGTTTTCTTTACCACGCATACATCCACCAATGGAATAATTTCTAATTCCTTGTGTATTCCTTAAGCTTTTCCCTTGCTGCCATGTTTCTCTGACCTACAGTCCTTTTCTCCATCTGTACTTACCGGTGTGCCTTAATTCACTGCCTAGCTCAAATGACTTCCCTGGAATTTCTCAGCTGAAAAAAAATTTTTCTTTTTAAATGAAATTCTATACAGTAAATTTATTCAGTTCTGCTAGTTACTAGCCTGTATAGCTTTGGGCACATTATTTAAAAGCTCTTTATCTCAGTTTCCACATCTATAAAATTGGAATGATACTATATTTAGCTGATTCTAAGACATTTTTCACATTTAAACATCTCTGAAATACGATGTTATCTTATAATTGATTGCATATCATAGTTTAGTTGGCGTTTTCCTTTTTCTTTCTTATTGGTACATAAGGTAGGGTGCTTCACATACTTGATGGCGTCTTAAATTTGGTGAAATACGGTAACAGTATAATATTTAATGGTTTTAGTGTGAGAAATAAAGGATCTTTGTATAGATGCATAGAACAGTACAGGTGCAGAGTAATGCCCAATAAATGTTAGCTGTTGTTGGGTGTAGGTGACCCCTAACTTACAGCCTCATGGAGCCCTAAAAAATGATAATAAGTTGGAATGTCATTGGGTTGAACCCTCATGTTTATAGTTGCAATGCTTGCAGTTTATGACATGTAAATGCTAAAGTTGGTCATGAAAAGAAATAAGAATGAAATATATTTACACACATTTGTTAGAAAAAGTGTAGGGCCAGTCATATTTAAAAGCTTTATTATAATTGCCTCTTAGGTATAATTACTTTTTCAGCATCGGCTGGACTGCTGAGGCCAATTAAAATATGAGTGCAGTGAGTCTTTTATCTTCCTGACAAACACCTTTCTACTAATCTTAGATGTTCGTCATTGATTCAAGTACTTTTAAACTTCCATTAAAATGAGGGCGTATCTCTTGAAAATTTGATTGATAATGAATATTTACGAAGACTTCAGAAATTTTCAAGTAGGAAAAGCTGAGTAGTTTCCGTGGTGACTTCTTCAGGGATCCCTGTGCTCTTTCATTTCAGAAAGAGGCCGCTGAGCTGCTCCCAACCTTGACGGGGCCAGTGCTTCCTCGGCCTGGAACGAAGCACAGAGTTTTCTTGTGGGCTCAGCCGCAATCACGAGTGGCTTGAGTTTTCCTTGTTTACTCTTGTAATCGTTCTAAGTATGAGTTTTCTTTGTTACTGTCTTTCTCCTTTCATTCAGTTAGCTTATTAGCTCTTTCATTCAGCCAAAATTTACTGAGTTTCTCAGTACTGCCAGGCACTGACCCAGAAGTTCTCAGAGTTAGTACAGTACTCTTGTGGGGGAACAGATCATAAACAGACGTATAGTATCAAATAGACATCAAGCTGTAAAGTGGTATATACAGCTTTCTTATTTATGTAAATGTTGACTTACATGTCTCACTTAACAAATTGTAAGCAATTTGATGTTTGGATTCACAGATAATTTTATAAATCTGTGAAAGATGGTAGAGGCTCAATAATTTGTAAGTATAAACTATGAAATTTGGTTCTAGAGATGACGTGGGAGAAAGAGATAGCTAGAAGACACAAACTCTGACAACTTAATATTCACCTTTGTCATGGAGATTCTGAATTATGCTTCAGAATATATAAGCTTAAAAATTAATGGCAATACTGAGTATTTATCAGTGGGTAGTTTCTAATGAGAAACATCAAACTTTTTTGCCATTCCATTTGGGAATTTTTTTAGAATGTAGTTTTCTATATATAGGTGGAAATTTTGAATTAAAAAGTAAATTACTTAGTTATTTTAATTGATTTGGTATAACTTCAATAGTGTATCTAGTACAGATAGTTCTTTTCGGATTAAAGAAAACTGTAGATTTAAATAGAAATTGATGGACGTTTTATCACTTGATTGTTCTGTTCAGTCTGTTATTTGTGGAAGGGGAAATACAGGCTAGGGATCAGTTTCCAGGACTGGATATTGACATTTTGCTCGTAAACAAAAGCATGTGCCTTCGGAAGCATCTTAATAACTTTACCTCTGTGTATATTTTCTTGCAGTATTATCAGAAAATCCACCCAGCTTCACCATTACCGTGACATCTGAGGCCGGAGAAAATGATGAAAGTAAGTCTAATCAAAAATATTTGCAGTTTTCCTAAGCCTCTCAGGAATTTTATTCATCCTGCAGCCATTGTGCTGGGCCTTGCACATGTGGAATGCTAAGGTGCTGTTGAGAATCTAGTGTGAATGTTACGGGTTTCTTGTCAGTACTTACTATGTAATAATAGAGAGGAAGTCAAGAGGTGTATTGACACAGTAAGCTTAATTTTTAAAAGTGAAACAGACATTAACAATACAGCAGATAGAGAAAGTGCAGGAGATTTTTGTCCAAAACAAGAGTTTGGATACACACGTAATTTAGTAGTTGTGTGGTAGTCCATTGAATACCATGGATTTTTTCCTGTTTGGATATTTGAAGTGTTTACTGGATATTTGCTGTTATAAATTGGGCTGGATAAATACCAGTCTGCATGTTTTCCTTTCTTTAGGGATGGATATTCTATTGTTATTTAAATATGTATATACATAAAACCAGATAAAAGCCAGTATTAACGTAACTGTGGAACTAAGACAATTATACAAACTGAAATAAAGCAGCTGTAAAACTAATAAAAAAAATTAAGTAAATTAATTTAAATTTGGCACGTCAGGAGAGGAATGTCTGAAGTTCGTTTCCACCTTTAGTCCAGTTCAGTTAATGTTGTAATTTGATAGAGACATTATATTAAGTTGGTGTTAACCCAAGGATTTTTTTTTCCCCTGTTAAGCTAGCCAACTGAAATTCTGCCATGAGCAGTCAGTAATACCAATATTAGTGGTATCACTTGATAACTCTCAATCTGTCTTGCACAATTGAAAATGAGGTTAGCATTGAGGTATTACTGAACTCTGAATTAAAAAGATGTTGGATACAGTTATTTACATATGTTTTTATAGATGGATATTATTTATAAATATGTATATAAAATCTCAGCTACAACATGAGCATCCTTTTACATTTTGTTTAAAATGTGAATATATGCATAGAAAGATACTTTAAAGTAATCTTTAAAAAATACTTTTAAGATACTTTAAATATACCAAAATGAGAACAGTGATCTCTTCCTGAAGATGGGATTATTATTGATTTTATTTTTCCCTTAATATATTCCTAAGTTTTCTATAGTGTCTATTACATCATATAGTAGAATCAATAAATTTAAAGAAAAAACCTTCTGAATGTTCTAGCAATAAAATTAGAAATGTGCTAAATAAAAAAAAGAAGAAAAATGCCTTAAAGACATTGTATATCTTACTGACCTAACACTCTTTCTTATATCCATTGACTCATAAAATTCTTTATTCGTCATACACATGAAATTCTTTGTTCATCATACATAAAATTGAAACAAAATATCAAACTGGTACATTTTAAGGTTTTTTTTTCCCCCTTCCCAAGGAGAGAGAAACCTAGATTTCAGTTAAAATCACCAAAATCAGGAGGTTTTAATAATTAAAGTATGAGTTACAGGAAAAGGTGAAATCTAGACAAAAGGTCATTGTGACTAATAAGTTTTAACCGAAAATATTTAGCACTTCTACTCAGTTGCACATTGCCTGGCGAAATTGAGAATTCATCAGGCCAGGTAGCAGAGAGATACTTTGCACTAATGTGCCTGTGAAAATCTCACACCTCTACAAGTGTCAGATCTGTAAACTGGCACAGGCCAAAAAACTGAGGGAGAATGTATGGATGAGTAAGGGTAAAAGTTTCTCAGATAACCTCTCAAACTGTCCATTCAAAACCATGTCCTCTAGCAATGCCTACTGTCATTGTACAGATAGAAACATGGACTCCAGGGCTGAAGTCAGATCTGCTCTGAAAACTGTCTCTGGTAGGGACCTGAAAATGAGCCTAAGGAAGTACTTCTTCTATGTGTCACAGTCAGTGCCTTTTGTTCATCTGTCTCTTATTCATTCTCTTTCTCAGACAAGCAATATGGTGAAATCGGTGAAATACTCACATGTAGTAAATGTATTTCATGTTAGAAGTGATTTTTAGTATTCCTGTGATTTGTTTTCACTTATCTTTGTGGTATGTGTTGTTTGTATTAGTGATGACCTATCTGGTCTCATAGTAACCTTGTTATTTTGTAGGAAAATTGTTCGTTGACACATCATAAAATAATTACTGGTTCAACAAATATGTTGACCTCTCTGTACTTTACATTTTAAGGTATTCATATCAAGCTCTTATCTTGTGTCTTCAGCTGTCCAGGCTACCCTCAAGTTTACATACAGTGAAAAATACCCAGATGAAGCCCCCCTTTATGAAATATTCTCCCAGTTAAATCTAGAAGATACTGATGTCTCAGACATTTTGAAATTATTAGCATTACAGGTAAGGAAATAACAAGTTTTGTAATGGCATTATTTTATTGGCCTTAAATATTATATATTAATTTTAAGAGTCAGAAAATGCTATTAAATATGTATAGCCTGTATATTAAACAAGCAGAATTCAGGATATGAGTGTGTGTGTGTGTGTGTGTGTGTGTGTTTACAAAGCATTTTTATTTTTGTTCTCCACTTTAAAATTTGAGTAAGAGAAGTTCTCCCTATACCCTTATTTGAAATTCAGTCAGCCCTGTGACTTTTGTGATAAAAAGGTGATAGAAAGTCCAGTTAGGTACTATAAGTTATAAACACAGTTTTGGTTTGGTTCTCAGAATATCTAGTCCCATGTGCATTTAAAAATTCCAGCTCTTAAAAAAAACCTAAAACTCCCAACCCCTCTGACCTGCTGCAGGCTGGTTGCCTACAATCTGGTAAGAGGGGTGGTGACGAATACATTTCTTTTCTTTCCTATCTCCCCTTCTCCCTAAGCTTACAAACAGCAGCAGTGGTTTCTAACTCCTCCAAAAGAAGATGTTGTGTGGAAAAAAAGAATGGGTATTGGAAAGTTCCTACCTGGCTAGTTCTCTGGTGGGATGGCTCCTTACTCTGGGCATGGCAGATATGTGAAGCTCTCTCTTGTTTAGGTAGAGAATTTTTATGGATTCTTCAGAGCAGGGAGTAGGGAGGGCAACTAAAATCTTACTCCACCATCTTAAAAGCAGGAATCCTGGTTTTGTTCGTTTTTGTAAGAAGAGCTGACAGAAAACATGTCTCCACCTTAAATGTGACGTGTATATTTCAAGAAGTAGAGGTGCTCTGAATGCTGATATTTTAGAAATATCTGGAGCTGTTAGAGAATGAAGAGGGAAACATGATTTCTCAAATGTTAATTGATGCTGATCCTGGGCCGTGTTCACTCCATTACCCAGTATGAAGTTATATCATTTGGTTTAACATGCTTCATTTAAAAACGTTGGAGACAGTGTGGGACAATATACTATATTCAGTCAGTCATGTGTTAATGTAAGTTATTTGAGCTGAGTGATTTTTTTAAAATACACATTTTATATTTTATTTATACTCAAGCTCCTTCCTTTCAAAAAGGAAATTTTGATTTCTTTCTGATACTTAACTGAGATCTGATGTATTGAGGGAATATATTTGTATTTTTTCTTTAAAAATAGTTATATTAATTTTTAATTATCAGAATAATTAATTTATATTACAGAAAACTCAGAAAATATGGAAAATCTGAAGAAAAAAATAAAGATTCCTCTTAATCTGAGTAACCCAGGTGTAACTGCTTAGTAACACTTTGGTGTGATATAGTTCCAGACTTTTTTACTTATGCTTATGTTTATAGTCTCCCTCCCCCACCCCAGGTTAGGTCATCCTATACATAGTATTTTGTGACATTCTTTTTTTCACATAACAATATATATCAGCATCTTTCCATTTTAGTAAACATATATATGGATTGTCATTTTTGATAACTTCATAGCATTTCACAGGATGTATGTGTAATTACACATGTGCTTTTTGAGACATCTTGAATTTCTCATTTTTTGCCTGATTTAATACATAATTCTTCGAACATTCTTATATATCACCATTTGTAAATCTTTAGAGCAGGGTGTCTATTGAATCATTAGTCCCTGGCCAATAGTAGACACTCAAATATTTTTTGAATAAATGAAAAGAATGAATTACTGATGAGTATACTGGTGCTTTCTAGAAGTAGGATTGCCAGATTAAAGGTTATGCAGGCTTTCAATACATACTGCCAAGTCGACCCTTAAAGTGGTTGTACCAAGTTATCCTCTCACTGTAGCCATTGAGGTGTCTGCCCACTTTTGCTAGCACTAGGTATTTTCATTTAGAAAGAAAAAATGATGGTAAGATGAAAATAGTACATAATTATAATCGGAAATTCTTTACTAGTGATGTGGAAGTCTTCATGTAACTTCTAGTTGTCTAGTTTTCATATGAATGCTGCTTTTTTTGCTTTTCTATTGGAATACTTAACTTTTTAAAAAGAGATCCTACTGGGATTTATCTTTGAAATGTATCAGGTTTAAGTTAGGTGGCCAGATACCATTCCCCCTCTCACAGACTTTATACTCTGGTGAGGAACATGGACCAGCAAACTGGAAATCATGATTCTCTGTGAAAAATGCTCTGATGGGTGAAGTAGCAGATTGGATGAGTGGGCATAGATTTGAGGCACTGGAGAGCTTCCAAGGTGAAGCTGGGACTGAAGGAAAAGTTTTCCAGGCAATAAAGAGAGTAGAAGAGTTTGAGGGTGGAGGAGTAAGCTTGTTAAGAGGCATGGGAGACAGAGAGAGAGATCGAGATCATTATTTCCTTCTGGAACTTCCGGTCATTCTAAAATTACTTGAGCTTGGAATTTGAGATTGGTGGTAACATGTGTTAGAACTAAAAAGGTTAATTCCCAAAGGATTTTCTAAACTGTTTAGAATGAATGGTCTTGCTCCTTACAGGTTTGGGAAGCTAATGGGATTTTTAAGCAAGAGTCTGAATAGATGAGTTCTGTGTGTACTGAAATGTCAGAGAAGTTGATGTCAGAGGTGACAAGACCAGAGATTTTGAGAAGACTGGTTAAGAGTTTCTTGTAATATTACAAACTGAAGGGGATGGTACCCTGGATTAAGGAATAATAACAGCATTGATGGAGAACAGTAGGTGGATTTAAATGACATTTAAGAATAAATAAGAGGTAGTGATAGAGCTTATGATGAGGTGGGAATGTTCAGGCTGGCTGGATGGTGTATGATTCTTTGAGATGGAAAACTTAGAAACAGATTTGTGGAGAAGTGATGGTTTGTGTTGAGACACAGTTTTAAAACTGGTTTGGCAGTCAGGGGAGAGGTTTATTTAAAGTCAGATTTAGGATGGTTAGCATGAAGACACCGCCAGGAAGCCCCACTGAAGAGGATTACAGGAGCTGGTTTGAAGCCTAGTACTCACCGAGGGCCTGGGAGATGAAATATCCACTCAGATGCCGCTGAGGCCAGTTCTGTCAAAGGAATGCTTGGACATCTTCAAAATCTCTTCTTCTAGGATGGAGATTTTGGCTTGTATATTTTGAATTTTTTGTGGTAGGAGGGGTCTACTCCCTTGGAACCCTATCTTGTTTCTATAAATAAGTTATCTTGTTTTATTATATTCTGCTTTCACGTGACCAACTTCCAAATAGCTTTTGAATTATATCCCTTTCATGAGTTGGAGATGCTTTTATATTTGGTTTTAAACCATTTCAAATAGAAAGAAAAAAAGGTACATAAAGATAAATCATAAAACTATCTACATTCTTTATTATTATACTATATTAGGAAATCACTTTGCCTTCAAAATTTAGTTCATTGTCTCAGCTCTTAAAATACCCCCAAAGAACTAAAGTAATGAAAACATGCTGGAGAACCAGTATTGTTAGCTATTGTAGGAAAATGTTTTCTGAATTCTTCTTATGTTTATGCTTATTAAGTAGAATTTATTGAAATACGTATTTTAAGTTGAATATAGCAAATTATAAGACTTTAAAAATGTAAGATACTATTATTTATATACTCAACTGTTAAATGATCCAGGTGTCTGAACTTATGGTATAACTGATATATAATGATAAAATCATAATCGGTAATCATATTATAAATATATGGAGTTTAGTGATTATGCTGAAACATCTTTTTTTCCCATTGGTTAATTGTTTTTATTTTTCTGAGGATTATGTTTCTTACTACAACTTTTTTTTCTGGTTACATAGGCAGAAGAAAACCTTGGTATGGTGATGATCTTTACTTTAGTGACAGGTGTGCAAGAAAAATTAAATGAAATAGTGGATCAAATGAAAACTAGAAGAGAAGAAGAAAAGAAACAAAAAGAAAAAGAAGCAGAAGAAGCTGAAAAGGTATATTTAAAAGGCATGTTTTCTTTCATTCTTCAAATCTTTTTTTTTGGTTTGGTTTTTTGTTTTTGTTTTTGCTTTTGGAAGTTTCAGTAATTTTTTGGGGAATCACAGAAATAAACAATAAATTTTAGCAAAGCTTTACTAAGTAAAATTTTAGAAGGTCCCTCATTTAGTTGGTGGTATGGCACAGTAATGATTAATAATCAGTAAAGAAAAGCTCATGCAGGTAAAATCAAGAAGTATAAACTATTTCACTTACAGTATAGAGTTTAGAACTATAAAGCCCTCACCAAAGTGATTTAAATAGTTACTTAATGTAAAGAAAACCTTAGATTCTGAGATGAAGTGAAAAATATAAGCTATGTTGTTAGTGCTGTGAATTGGTGTATATTTAAAACATTAATAACCGACAGCAGCAGCTTTCTTCATAACAGTGAATAGCATGGGGATACATAGTATATTATCTTTGTTTTTTGTAATAAAAATAAAAATGACTTTTCCAGAGTAAATTGCCAAAACTAATGAGACTAGCCAGTGCAAGCAGAAATCAGACTAAATGTTGTAAAACTTGAAGCCATTTTTCTGTGTTTTTCCTGTAAGCGGCTATATTCACTCGTCTAGAAGGCCATTAGGCTTTATTTTCTAAACTGCTAATCTCGTTTTTTTGTGACATGTCTTTCTTCTTTTCTAAGCAATTATTTCATGGCACTCCAGTTACAATTGAGAATTTCTTAAATTGGAAGGCCAAGTTTGATGCAGAACTCTTGGAAATTAAAAAGAAACGAATGAAAGAAGAAGAACAAGCAGGAAAAAATAAATTAAGTGGTATGACCTGCACCCCCTCCCCATTTCCTGTTCCCCTTAAACCCTTTTATATTACTTCTTATATAGCAAGAGGATCATTTGGGCAGATTCTCATAAGAAAATAATATACTTAGGCATCTAGGACAGAAATAGAAAGCATTCTCTCTATAAGATGATGTTTCTGTATGCATAGTTATAATTAATTTTTTGGTTTATCTTTCATTTAAATATTGCAATGGATAGATCTCAAGATACAGCTAGCATGACTTTTAGTATCATAAGCCTTAGGAGTGCTAGAGTCAACCCCACTTGTTTTTCTAGGACTCTAAGGTAGGCTAAGTTTTAACTTGTTCATTTTAATGCAGATGCATTTTGTATGCTTCTTAGCTACTTACTGAGTTCATAAATTTATTGAAATTCCCAGAAAAATAGGTTTTCAGACTTGTTTTCTTTAATTATTGTACCTTTGAAAAAGTTGTAGGGAAAATGGAGGGAAACTCTGCCATTCAAATTGAAATACGTTTATTTCTTATAGGGAGACAGCTGTTTGAAACAGATCATAATCTCGACACATCTGATATCCAGTTCTTGGAAGATGGTAAGATAATATTAGAATTCCACATGTACATAATGTGCTATTTTTAATATTAAACCAGGAGAATTGGAGTGGTCACTTAATATATAATTTTTCATCCCAGGGCTGTAAAGAAATATATTTTGAAGAATAAATTCTAATGTGTGATTATACATGAAGCCATAGCAATGTATTTTTTAAAGTATATTTTATCAAAGATAGCACTGGGTAAACAGTGTGGTCACATTAGCCTCTAACAACTGGTCATAAATCAAGTCACCGTGACTCAGGTGACTTGGTTTCCTCAAATTTCTAGTATCACGGATCTCTGGAAACTGTAATGCATAATCTGTCTTGGAGCTGTATAAAAATCTCTATCCCAGAACTCCTAGCATGCTGTCTAACCAGAAATCTTACATTTCATACCACTCTACTGTCTGGACATCTAGTCCCTTATGCTTTTCTTCTCTTTTTCATCCTAACCCTTACTTACCCTCTTTTAGTCTTCATTCATCCATGTCCATCCATCCACAAATACTGCATCCCTGCTATTAGCCAGGCATCGTCCTGGCTGCTGAGGATACAGCAGAGAACAACTAGACAAATTCCCTGTCCTCACAGAGCTTGAAGACTGTATGTGTTTCTTAAACTGGGCTCCATACTCGGTCAGCACTCCAGCAGCACCCTGGGGTCTCCACTCCGTCATCCTTCTGTCACGCCCGTCATGCCAGTTGGGGGTCCTGTAGCATCTTGCCTTTCAGCCTTGTTCCCGGACTATCTTCTGGAGAAGATTATAAATCAACTGTTGATGTGGCCCACTGCTGAATCATGCCTCTTAACCTGAGCTGGGCTCTTACTGACACTCAGCTTTTTTTTTTTTAATATCTTATTACATTCTTGCTCTGAAGTTTTTAGTCTCAAAAAAACCAACCAACCAACCAGCCAAACAAAACCCCCCAAAAACCCCAAAACAAAAACAGGGATGTCCTTATCTGTCCTCCCTCTCATTTTAGGAGGTTATTTTACTTTGTTTTGTTGAGAAATTCTGAATCCGGAAAGCTTGGGCTCATTCTCTCTTGAACTTGAAAAGTTTTACTGTCTAATCATTTTTGACTCTTTTCCTGTCTAACGGATTATTTTTTCATATCCAATAACTTACCAAAAGTTCTCTGTTGATTCTGCCTCTGAAATGTCTTTTCAACTCTTTTTTCCTGATTTGAAAGTTTTATTGTTTTTCAACTGGACTTTTGTAAGAGCTTCATAAATGAGCTCCCTGCTTCAGGGTCTTTATATACCCTGTAGTCACTCACTACCTCTAAGGCAGCATTTCTAAAACCCATGTGTAATCGTGACATTTCTCTCTTGAAAATGCTTTGTGATGTCTCTCTGCTCTTTAGAGGCAAAGG